CCAGGCCCCATATTACAAGTTGTCTTCAGCTTTCAAAACAGCTTTGTCTCTGTTGTTACATTAAGTAACACCAAAATTTACCTGGAGAAAACTGTGTTGACAAACAGCAATTGAAACAAACCGTACTGAAGGGAGATGCATTTATTTGTACTGGTTAGCTACGCATGACATACTCCGTCTGCTAATGCAAAATTTATGAAACTCAAATAGTCCAGCAATTATATCAGGTGCCAGCTGTAGAAGAACCAACCCAAAACTTAATAACCCTGCCCTGATGAGTTTGATCCAGCTGCGTCACATACTGCTTTAAAACTGGGAAATGTTTACCTGTTAAGTGCTGTGTATTACAGTCAAGAGTATCACTTGTCTTCTCAATTGTTACTACTACCATGGGTGAAAGTCTAAAGTTCCTGATACCTTTTGAAAACCCAAGAGCAGAGCAGATTGTCTCTTCACAGATAAATTGTTATCGTTTTTGCATTTTTTAATGCTTGGTTACCAGAGACATATGTCATTAGAGATGCTTCCCCTCAGAACTCAGCCATTACCTTTAGGCCTAAACTTTCTCTCTGCGCGTAGTGAATAAATCACCATCTCCTGACTGTTCTGATGATGTCAGTAAAACCAGTGGCTGGTATCCAGTGGAGTTCCTCTGGGCAGCTCTCCACGCTGTACAAACCTAAGCTCTCACAGTTAACAGAGTGGAATCGCCCTCAGAGATCGTTAGCCGAGCTCAACACTTGCCAAGGATGAAAAAAACCTTGCATGAGCTTTTCGACTTCTCTTGTTCCTGCTCTGGGAAGAAAGAGTATCAGTTTCTAGAGGCAGCAGCTGGGCATTTACCACACACTTCATACTCTCCACCAAGATGCAGGTATGTAAATTCAGACTTTGGTCTCGCTTGTCACGTCAGCATGCCTCTCAGTGACCAACTCAAAGCAAGCACAACGTACAGACCAGATACCGGAGGCCTGTTTTCTACAAAAGCTTGTTACTGGTCTGAGCTGTTCAGAATGAAAAGTCACTGTATAATTGTGCGTCGGCATTCTTGGCTAGTAGAGGAGACTTTGTTCTGTTCATTTGACGGAAGCGTTATTTCTGTAGCATTAGGATGTGATTGTACAATCTTATCCAATGCCATATTCTTCTGTTAATTCTTCCGTTAGAAAGACAAAAGGGTTCTTATGGAACGAAATGTGGCATATTAGATACCAGGTTTAAAAAAATATCACAACTCCACAATTTTTCTGTTAAATTTAGAATTAAGGCAGGGTAAGTAGAAATAATTAGTAAAATAAGTTGGAAAAATTAGGCAAGAGTTCAAAACTGCTTTTTAAGAAAAAAAACTGTTTTCAAAAGCATTTCCTGAACCATCTCTTCTTTATTCCTTAATGCCCAGAACTAATCTACATACATTGCTGCTGACTAAATGGAAGTACATGGCAGTGAAGAGTTGAAAACTAGTGCCAAGCAGGGGGAATTCTAGCTGGCCAATAAAAGGACATTAGTTTTTCCACCTGGAGTTCTGCTCTACGTTAAAGGTGAAGCAGGCAAACCTAAAATTGAATCCTGTTCAAAGAAAATTATTTTTAGACACAAAACGCATGCACACACACGCACAGCCATT